TCAAAAAGTTAATGTGTGTTTTATAGATATACTTTTTAAACTTTTAGTCTATTTTGTATTTTAAAGGCTCTCGATAAAAAGACTTTTCTTAGTCTTCTGCGAGTTTCCTTACAACTACATAGTACTATTAATATATATTAATATATAGTTTATTGCAGCCGTGGCGCAGTGCTAGAGCACTTGCCTTAGAAACGTAAGATCCGTGGTTCAAACCCCACCTCTGGACAATTTTTCCAACATCGGTTGGGAAAGAGGCGTAAACTTCCTATTAAATGCTCTTCCGCGGTGCTCTGTGATAAGAGCGTAAGGACTTCTTAGGGCACCTAAATTTACATTTAAAAAAAAAAAAAAATAGTTTCAACGACAACGACAAGCAAGTCCCTAGTAGCCCTGTGGTACGACGAACTTGCGTATATTTTTTGAATGCATGGGTTAATAGCCAGCACTATATATTATAAACTACATATTTTTTAGTTTATTTTAACTCGATATCAAACGCGCATGCGTAAAACAGTTAACGCTCTTTATATATTTTAACGTGTTAACGCTCTTATTGTAAATGCTTGTTTGGGATATTTATATAAACTGGAGACATGTAAATGTTATTTGTTTTTGAAATATATAATAATGCATATTATCACTTTTAAGTATCTTTGTTTTTCAAAATGCGATAATTATATTTTTTACTCTCAAGTCCCTAATACAAGGAGGAGGAGGAGTAGATGAAACATTTATAATTTCTCCCCCCCCCTACCCTGTTTAATGCTGTAAAAAAAAAATTGGCCTTAAAAATTAGGAAATAATTAGTTAATCATAAAACAAAATTTTGTAGTGCAAACAACCATTGAAAATCACTAAATCTCGATTTTTCGAAAATGAACGCTAAATTTGTTTCTTACATAAGTTAACTTATTAAATCCTTTTAAAATTATTGCTTAAGAATGTGCATTAGACCGCAAGCCAAATTTAATTTAGAGTTTTGCGTATTTCGTCATAAATTTTATAAACTGACTTTTTTTATAAAAAGTACATAACCCCCCCCCCCTGTATTGTAAGGACTCTAGAGTAGCAAGTCATTTTGAATTATTTTAATTTTACTTAGGGTAAACTGACCAAATTCGAGCCAGTGACCAAATTCCAGCCACATTTTAAATTTATTATTTCTGTCTTGTTTTCTGCTTTATGTTTGTAAATGCTACTTTTTTGAGACTGGTATGAATTCAGCCAATAAAAAAAAGCATTGTTATAGTTGGCGGCTGTTTATAATAGAAGTAACATCATAAAAAATATTTATCTCAAAAAAGTACTACTTTATATTTAAAATATCATGTAAGCATCCAGTTTGAAGCTTATAAATATTAAATATTTATTACTTAACGAAATGTTATTATTCTAAACTATAAATATATTTCTTAAAAAGACAATTTTAGCTTTATAATTATGTTGAGTCATTGCTATAGATTGTATTTCTTAATTAATTGCACCTGGTAGAAAGACAAAAATCCAGCCAGGTATAAACCTTATTCCGGCCAAGGCCGAAATTAAGTTCACGAGTGTCTAAAAGTAACTCATACTTGTATGATATTTATATTATTAGATTTTATTCTTTTAATATAAGTACTTTATGTTACATTTATGTCCTAAAAGTTATCAATCTTAAATATTTGCATTTATTTAGTTAAATGTTTATATAATATTTTTAAAATTTGAGGATGATGGCTTAAAAATAAACAAAAGTCTAAATAATTGAAAGATATTATATTGTTTCATGTAAATTATTACTTATAAATGAAATTATATTAAAAAATAATCTTTAATTGAAAATTTTAATAATTTATAATATAAAGTTTTCATTTTAGAATGGCTGATAATAAAAATAAAATTTATAATAAGAAACAATGTCATCCAACTCGAGGTAATTATATGAAATATAAAGAGGAAGTGTTACTTGAAGCTATAAACAGTGTTATTTGTTCACCTAAAATGTCTGTTAGAGCTGCTGCTAAATTTTTTAAAGTACCCCGAGCAACTTTGCAGAGCAGGATAAATGGAAAAGTTGAGATTGGTGCAAAAGCAGGAAGAAAATGTTTAATGCCGCTTGATCTTGAAAAAAAGTTACTCGATTTTGCAGACAACAGAGCTAGGAAGGGCATTGGTTTTGGAAAAGAACAATTCTTGGTATATGCTGGCAAGTTTGCCAAAAAATATGGATATTCTTTTAAGAATGGCAAACCATCTAATAAATGGTGGCGACTACTTAACAATCGACATAAAAAAAAGTAACTCTTCGACAACCAGAGTCAACAGCATCAGTTCGTCATCAATGCATGAATCTGATAAAGGTGGCAAATTATTTTACTGCACTTAAAGAAGTCATTAAAAACTGTCAGCCTGAAGTAATATGGAACATGGATGAGACAGGACTGCAGCTAGACTTTAAGGCGCACAAAATAGTTGCTGCAAAAGGTACAAAATATTTACATATGAGAACAAGTGGAAGTCGAGAAATGATTACTTTAATTGTTTGTGTGAATACAGCAGGATGAGCCTTAGCACCTCATGTTATTCCAAAAGGAAAGACAGTAAAATCCCTTCAAAGTTTTCAAGTTCTAGATGCCCCTGAAGGAACCAACTGGATTCCAAGTGAATCTGGATGGACTAAACAAGGGATTGCAAAACTATGGTTTGAGCTTACATTTTTAAAAAACATTGGACCACAACGTCAGCAAGTTTTAATTTTAGATGGCCACGATTCCCATAATTTCGTAGAGTTAATAGATATGGCCATACAAAACCGAATTGAAATTGTTGAATTACCTGCTCATACAAACAATTGGCTTCAACCTTGTGATCGAACTGTATTTAAGCCATTCAAAGTTTCATATAATAAAGCAGCCCAGGATTTGATGTCTAATCACCCTGGGGTTATAATAAACAAGGCCAATTTTACAGGACTTTTAACCAAAGCCTGGAATAAAAGTATGACAAAAGCTAATATTGAATCTGGCTTTAAATTATGTGGAATCTTTCCATATAATCCTTCAATTATTCCAGCTGAAGCTTACTTGCCAAACTATGTGTATTCTGAAGACAGGTTAATGACTAATCTCTTTGATCAAATTAAAACAGTTGATAATACAACAATAGTTAAGCAGATTAAGCAAACAACAGACAGCACAAAAGTACTTTTACCAGATATTGAGTTGGAACAACATCTAATTACCAACCCAAGATTTGCTGTAGCAAATGATCACGACTATTTAGCTGTACCAATAACCGTAGTAGAACATAGGAGTGATGATTTAGTGGAACTAAATATGAAAACTATAGAACTAAAAGCTGAAAGTAATAAAGCTACTAGTAAGTTTCAAGACAGCTTTAGGATTATGTCTTACTCTGAAATTGAACAGCCTATTGATCAGCATGAAGTTGATTTTACAGTTTCAACTCTTTTAGCTTCTGATTTTGCAAAAACTAGATCTTTTGCCCCAAATTTCCCCTTTAAAAATTCATCTTATCCAGGAGATGGAGATAATGACATTTTGCCATATTTTTATCCAAAATTTACAAAGAGCAAAAAAGCTAAGAATGCAGACAAGTTTTTTGTGCTTACTTCTAAGGAAGCATATGAGTCACAGTTAAAGCAGAAGCAAAAACAAGCTCAAAATGAAAAGGAAAAAGAAATGCGTAAATTGAAAAGACTACAAAACTTAAAAATAAATGAAGCAACGGTATTGTCAAAAGATAATCCTAGAAAAAAACCGTTGCTATAAAAATGAACCAACAAAAGTATAAAAAAGCAATGTGTAATTTGATCATGTTGTTATGAATTTTTGTTCTTAGTGTATAAAAAAGTCTTTTATAGAGTTCACTGAATTCTTTTTTTTTTTAATGTGAATATTATATTATATGCAAATCTTTTAAAATAGTTTCAAAATCATTTCTGAATAGTTTTAAAATCATGTCCTGAAAACTTATTTTTTTTAGATGCCTAACATCCTTACTAAGTTTATTTGTTGATGAATGCTTAGTATTAAGTTAAGCAATCATTTTCTAACTGATGTTTAATATCACATCAAAAAAATTATTGGTTCAATATTTAGTAATTCAATTAATTTTATTATTTTAAATGCCAACCCATAAAAGTATTATAAAAAGCTTGTTATTTATATTGGCTGTAATTAGGTTCATTCCGCATACGCCTGGCTGAAATTTGGTCATAGTGGCTGTATTTTGGTCAAATTTATATACTTTTTGTAATCGTTGTTTTATCAAACATTTTTTATTTCTAATAATTGCTGTAATTATATCCTAAATGCTGAAAGATCTATCTAGAAATGTATAATTTTCATATAGACCTCTTTGTTAATGTCTGTAAAAACAATTTTGCAAAGATGCGGCTGGAATTTGGTCACTTTACCCTATACGCCTCACTTATAGCTTCGCCACAACGCGAAGAACACTGAACAAAGAAGTAACATCAAATATGCCAACTAATTTATTTGAAAATCGCTTTTTGCAGAAATAAATAGCATTCGCTTTCGTAAAATGCTTTATTTAACTTAATACTTCTTCTTTTTAACCATTTTCCAACTAGTTCTTTAATAGCCTTAAGGAATAGCTTGTTATGGGGGCAATTTTTATTTATAACTACGTGATTTAAGTATTAATGACGAAAGTCCGTTAGGAGAAACATATCCTTTAGAATCAAACTATAGGGTTCCTTAAGGGTAAGGCATATTGAGTTATAGTCACCAAAACATTTAAAGGCTAAGAATAACTAATAAGCTAATAATAAACACTATCTGCTAATGCAGATTATGTTTTGATGACGACAATCAACAACGTTAACGCTACACAGCCCATTAACTCAAGCATTATTAGTGTTAAGATTCTTCTTAACACATGCATTTAGAATTTATTTTTTAACCTGAAAAATAGTTAAACTTGAATTTAACTTGAACTTTTAAAGAAACTCAATTTAAAACAAAACTCTATCATGCATTTAACAAGCGACGAAAAATGTCAAGCAGATCTTAAAAAATAATTTACATATCTAAAAACAACAGAGACTGTTGTAAGTTTCAACTCTAGCTAATAACTTGATGTAAAATTAATAGATATAAAACCTTCACATTCGTTTAATTTATTAAAAAAATTTAGTCAAATCCTAGACGCTATTTCTTATTCTGAGGCAGAAAATTGATATCCAAACTATAGGGTTCCTTAAGGGTAAGGCATATTGAGTTATAGTCACCAAAACATTTAAAGGCTAAGAATAACTAATAAGCTAATAATAAACACTATCTGCTAATGCAGATTATGTTTTGATGACGACAATCAACAACGTTAACGCTACACAGCCCATTAACTCAAGCATTATTAGTGTTAAGATTCTTCTTAACACATGCATTTAGAATTTATTTTTTAACCTGAAAAATAGTTAAACTTGAATTTAACTTGAACTTTTAAAGAAACTCAATTTAAAACAAAACTCTATCATGCATTTAACAAGCGACGAAAAATGTCAAGCAGATCTTAAAAAATAATTTACATATCTAAAAACAACAGAGACTGTTGTAAGTTTCAACTCTAGCTAATAACTTGATGTAAAATTAATAGATATAAAACCTTCACATTCGTTTAATTTATTAAAAAAATTTAGTCAAATCCTAGACGCTATTTCTTATTCTGAGGCAGAAAATTGATATCCAAGATATTTTGCTTGAACAAAATCAAATCCGGACAGAACACCAGCGCCTGCAATACCACGAAGAATATTAGCACCAGCACCTTTCATCAAGGACATGAATCCTTCATTTTTAAGAATTTGTGTGGTACAATCAATGGATCCTTTATATTTAACAGCCTGACCAGATGTCATCATCATACGTCTTCTAATTGTATCAATAGGATATGAAATCAATCCAGATGTAACAGTAACACCTAATTAAGTAAATTTAGCATACAACAATCATATTTAAGATTTTAATGATATATGTTTGTATGTATATAAATATATATTTGTATACATACATAAATACATATAAAATGCATATATAAAAAAGGCGATTCAAATTTATGTTAAATATTTTATAAAATTCAAAGAATCACTTACCATAACCTAAACCAAATGATAGGATAAATGAATTGTTGTCACCCATTAAAAGAGGTTTTAAGGTGTCATAGAAACCAAAGTAGCATCCTCTGTATACTATGATACCAACACAGGAAATAACAAATCCTCTATATAATCCAACAATTCCATCAGATTTGAGTGTCTTAATATATACATCAACAAGCCCTTTGTATTCTCGTTGACCACCTATTGACATAAAATTTATGATTAAATGCGCCAGTAGTTGTTTTTTACATACATTGAAATTGAACATTTTAATATACCTTTTTTTGACGATTTTGTATCATTAGCTAACTTGGTTCGAGCAAAGTCAAGAGAGTATACAAAGCACAAAGAAAGAGCACCAGCAACACCTCCAGATGCAATATTTTTTGCAAAATTGATTGCATAACCATCAGCTTTATTTTGCTTAAACATAGCTTTAATTTTATCTTTGAATGCAAAATTTAAAGCCTGAGTAGGAAAGTAACGAATACAGTTAGCAACATTTCCTCTCCAGAAAGGAAATAAACCTAAAAATATAGATAGATAAAAAATTTAATAGCAAATAACAAGACAAAAATATCAGAAAAAATGTTCAAGGCATTACCAATGCCTTAAACATTTATTCTGATATTTTTGAACAAAAGTTCAAGGCAAAAATGTTCAAGAATTACCTTCATTTCGGAATGTTTTTACAGTGCAGTCAACAACCCCTTTGTATGGTTCAGTAAGCTTTCCTTGTTTAATCATCTCATCTTGATTTTGAATAAGGAGTTTTATTCTCTCAATAGGGGCAGCACCTGTTTTAGATATAACTGCTGCAGCTCCACTCAAAACAAAGTTTTCAACAAATGAGAGTTTCTTAGGTTCAGCCATCTAGAATTTAAAAATATAAGTTAAATAACAATAAATTACAAGCAATAACTAGCAAACTAGCAATCAAAACAAGTTTTAATGTCAAAATAATAAGAAATAATGAACTAGAAACAGTGTAATATCGTGATCATACAAGACAACCAGTTGTCTAAGAAAAGAGGACTGAAATAGCCTACAAAAAAAATTTCTATAACACTAGTGCGATTTTGGGGAAAATTTTTTCACAATAGGTGGTATTTTATGTACACTTAAGATGAAATAATAAAAGGTAAAGTTTTTTAAACATTATGAGACCCAAATTGTTACTATCTAATTTTTAGAACTCTAAAATTTAGAAGCAATTGAGCTATTTAATTATTAAAAAAAAAAAAAAAAAACATAAAAAAAAAAAAAAAAAAAATTAAGATTTAAAAACCAATTATATAAAAAAATTAACTTTTAAACCCTGTATTTATTTCATATTTTAAATTGCAAAAACAATAAATTGATTTTTAAAAAATGATTAAAGTTTATCTAGCAAAAGGTAGTTTTATTAGACTATTATTTATTAGAGATTATTATTTATTTTGCAAGACAAAAGTGAAGTAGCAATAATATAAGTAAACAGCAGCATTAGTCAATTTTATCTAACATTAACACTAATTTTAAGGTATGATTTTGTAGAATTTTAAGGAAAGAATTTATAGGATCTAGAAATGTATACACAAGCCTTTTTTCATTACATACAATAACTTTAAATTTACAAAACTACATATAAACAAAAGGAAACAAGCATATAAACTGCCTCTAAAATTGGTTCAAAATTAAAATAATTAAAAAGCTATTATATACACAACACACTTTGGTTTATATATTTTTTAATTTATATATTTTCACATCCATTTCTGTAAGCTCTTCAAATTAAATTTAATAAATTATAACCTTATAAATATTGCTTTAATGACGAATATTAAAAAACAATGACTCGAGCCTTATAGTTGATTTTTTGCCAAGGTATAAAAATAAATAAATGAAAACTAATGTAAACATATATACACTGATGTACGATTTTAATATCAACATTATGTATTAACTTTTTCAAATAACTCAAAATCTAATAATTCTTTTTGTTGTTATTTAGACTATATTCTTTAGTAAACTGAAAGTTTACGCCCTGACATCACAAAAAAACAAAATCCAAGATGCAAAAAAAAAGGTAGTTTTGACATTAAAACTTGATGCTTATTTATTTTAATTCCTAAACAAACTGCACATTTAAATCTGAGTATTGAAACGCATCGAGTATCGACATCAAAATGCGAGAGAAATTTGTCAATTTATGAATCTTTGGCGGACATCTTAAGACAAGTTTTTAATAAAATTTCACTTACATAATAGAAATGACAAATGTAGCAATAACTGAATTTACAATAAAAACAAGTTTCCTTACTGTTTAAGTGTGACAAGTCCGATAAATACAGTTCAAGAGAGTCTACTCGTCGCAAACAACGACCGAAATTGCGCAGTGCTTCTCTGTAAAGGGGCTGGTAAATTAACTGATCATGTTAAGAACAATTGTCACGTGAATATTCGCCCCAATCTTCTATAATCTAGTTTCAAAGTACAACTCTCTTTGCCAGAGACTTATTACTTATTTATGATTTTGAACTAAAAAAAAATTAATGTAGTTTATGTAAAACGGTGCGGAGGTTAATACAATAATAAATGTTTCATTCAGCTTTTACATAAACCTTATTCAAAAATTGTTGATTTGTAAAAATAAAGCGGTAATCTAACTTGTTTAACGTGTTTGGTAGTCATTTAGAGACGTTTTGCTTCTAATAAATATAAGTACAATATCTGGGTTGCCAATTTTAAGTGGATGGTTTTTAATTTATCAGTTTATAATAATAATAACAACAACAACAACAACAACAACAACAACAACAACAACAACAACAACAACAACAACAACAACAACAAATTAAAATAAATAATAATAGTAAAATAAAATAAAAATATATGAAAAAACTATATTCCTTTCATTACTTCATAAAGAAGAGACACAAACGTTGTGTCTAGTTTAATATTTTTATATTCAAGAATTTCCTTAAAACAAAAAAATAAAAATGAAAAAGATTTAATAAAATTAAAAAAACTTTTTTGAATGAAAAATTGAAATTAATATATGAAAATTAGTAAACTTATTTTTTGAGAATTTATAAATGCGCAGTTTTTTTTAGACTCTACGTGTCTGACAATATTACGATTATAATCGACGTGTCTGAAATAAATATATTTGACTTATAGAAAGAATACTACACACTTTACAGCTGAACAGTTTAATTTCTGAAAGAATAAAATTTATTGAGAAAAAGAAAGTTGTTAAAGAGTTAAAATTAGTAAAACAAACAGCTTCTCAAAATAATATAACTGTAATAAATAGTAACGAGTTTTTTGACACAAATAGTATAGTAATATAGAATTACATGTATTATTATAATAGAGAAACAAGAATATAAGCTGCTGATTCTTAAACATTTTTAAAAGTAGAAATATTTCTTTCCCGGTGGGAAGTCGGCTAGCGAATAGCTAGCTATAATCGCTACGATAAAGACAGCGATTTGGCCACGAGGATCGCTAGCTTTTTTAAGTTAGCGAAAAGCTATCGATATTTGTAAAGACAAAGACAGCGATTTGGCTACGAGGACAGCTAGCTTAATAAACTAAAGACTCACAGGCTATTATAGCTACCGTCATATCATAATAAAATCGCTATCAAAAAAGTTTTGGTATGTAACTATAAATCAGCTATAGATTTGTAGATATTTTGTAGCTAGCTACAAAGCTACGATATGTAGCTAGCGACACATTGCTACAAAATCGCAATGTTTAAAGTTCAATTATTCTCATAATTAAAATAGATTCAACACTAAAAATCGAATTTTTAAAGATGTTAGAGACATTAGTAAAGAATAAAATAAGAAAAAAAAAAAATCGCTTCAAAATCGCTATTAAGCTAGCTAGTCGCTCGCTAGTCGCTAGCTCATTTCCCACCGGGTTATCAACTAAATAATTAACACTCAGTTAATGGTTTTGTTGATTTACTTTTTGAAACGATAATTCAGATGTATAATAATCTCTATAACAAACTCTTTTTATAGGGGAAAGGCGCCTATGATTGCATAGCGATTATGATGGCATACCGGTCATATTTTCATAAATATTAGTTATGGCGAAAAAGTGATTAGATCAACATGTCTATACTGACTTTACATTATTTTTAATAAAAATAAGCCCCTTATGCACAAATATTGCTTTTATAATCAACAAAAATTGATTTTGGGATGTGTTCTTGTATTTTTAATCCCTTTTTTTTTTTTTTTCCAGAAAAATATGAACAAGGTAAATTTACATTGAATATATTACTGGTAGGACTTCCAGAAGATCACATTATCTTATCATGAAGCCCTTTACAATCTATATAACGAATTAAAAGGTAGAAAATTTACAAATATTAAAAATTACATAAGCGTTAGAATATTCTTCAGATGTTAAGCAAGTTTTAACATAATATTTTATAATATGGATATATAACATTCTCAATATTGAACAATATTATAATATAAAGTATTCAGCATATATTGTTTAAATAATATTCATCACACAGTCGACAAAAATATCAAATAACTTAAAATACTAAAAATAAATAAATATATTTTGTGTTGAAAAGATTATTTCTTTTGTTTTCTTTTTAAAGGAGGAATAAGACCATTTAAAAGAAAAATCAAAGTTAGGTAAAACTATTTTATTCCAAAGAAATGGACCACGATAAGAAATGCAAAACTGGTCAATTTTTGTTTTGCAAAACGGCTCTTGAATATTTTTACTATCACGAAGTTCATATTTGTTTTTTGGTTTCAAATTATAGAGATTTATAAATACACTTGGAGATAAATTTTCTTTACATTTAAACATAAAACATAAAATATTAAAAATATTTAGTTCGTATATATTTAAAATCCCTTTAAATATTTAAGATTATAATTTTATTATTAACTGTGCAGAAATGAAATTTTCATGCATTTTATTTCCAAATTTTTGACATTTAGTGGAATACTTATTTTAATTTTATCTTTTGAACAAAGCAGACATAGCTTGTTTAAATAAAAATGATGACTTCTTCCTATGATGGCATACTGACGAGTTAGGTGTGTTGCAATATTTAGGAATTGAGAAAACCTTTTTTTCTTCATAAAAACAACATATTTGTTAGTAAAGTAAAAAGGAATTTTTACTTCACTAAAAAATTTTTGGTTCAAAAAACACATATAACGCAATATCTCTTATGCGCATGCGCGAAATTCTACGTGTTGCTGTGGAGCATGAAAAGGTTAATTAGGATGATTTCCCCTATTTTCTGGCATTTCTGAGAGAAGACTCTTAGGTTAAATGAAATCGTCAAGTTACCCCTAATGCTAACCAGCCCCATCCTCCCCTATGCCATCATAGAAGCAGTAGTTGCCTATGATGGCATACTTGTGCGTTTTTTTTTAAATAAAAATAACTCCTAGGGTTCTTATTGTTCTACATGTAACAAAGCATGTATCCATATCAAAACTTTTGTTTTTGGTCTTCCTAATACTGAATAATGAAGCTTCAAAGTTAAGTATGCCATCATAGGCGCCTTTCTCCTATATAAATTTATTTTTAGATTTTTAAAAAAAATTTACTTTATAAAAGTTACAAATTATTTTTGAGCTATTCATTTCAAATAAATTTAAACCCTATCAGATTTAGTTGTCGAAATTTAAATATTTTATAAAAATAGATTTGAACAACTTAACAATACTTTTGTAATATTTTTTAACCAGCCCCTTTAGTCAGAACTAAAAATGATGAAAGTGGTGCGATAGTTTCTAGCGGGAATATATATTTTTTCTTTCAAAAATAAAAACATTCTGAGAAAATTACAATTTGCGACAAAAGGTGCGCTTAAAACGAATTTAAAATAGAGGAAAATAAAAACACTTAAAAAATTAAACATATGCTTACAGATAATTATGGGTTGAAAAACTTCAAAAAAAGGAAAAACACTTATTGAATTTAAAACAAAAAAGAAATAATGGTGTAGTTAATAAAACAAAATTATTACATGACTAATCCTAAGATTATAAGATTTTATCTATGTTTAGAGTTAATGTCATGAGCAGGATTATTTTGGAAAAACTAAAACACAAACTAAAACACAAACTACCTGATTTTACGGCATAAGCTGACTAAATTATTATTTTTTTTAACTTAATATATTTTTATTCAAAAGTCGTATGCCGTCAATACTCGTAGCCCGTGGCTAGATTGCTTTTGCCTTGTGGCTGTACTTACTTCCCAGTCTTTTTATGCCCAGCTATTTTCAAATAAGCAAAGCGCCTTTATCATTTCCTTAGTAAGTTGGTAATTATGCGTGATATGTTTTGAAAAAAAATTGTTCCAAATACTATTTATTCACATTCATAACATTAAATGTTGCGAAAAAAATTGTTTACAAAACGAAATGGTTTGAATATCTCACCAGTTTAATTTCGTAGTTAAACTTTTGGCTTGAAAATGCCCTGATATAAATGTTTTTATGCCATATTTTAAAATCAAGATCAAGGTTTTGACAAAACTTTTGTAGCTTTAAGGTATATTTTTAACTATGTTTTAGCTAGCTTTTTATAACTGTAACTAGTTTACTTATATACAACTGTTTCTGTGCTTATTGTTTTAAAATTCTTATAACATTTAACTAAAACATTTTTATTTTATTAAACAGTTTAATACTATAAATAATAGTTTTGCCACAGAGTTATTTAAAAAAAAAATTATTTTTTGTTGCTATAAATGTAAATAATTAAAATATTACATTTTTATTTCTTAAAAAAAAATTTAATCTTCAAATAGAAGCTTTAATTAAACAGGATCTTATAAGTTGATTCTATTATTAATTAGAATCAAATATAATACAATATTGGAGACTATAAAATAAGTGAGTCCTCAAGAAAGAGTTGAAGGAAATTTTTCTGAACTACTTAATTTTGGAATTTATGCGGGTGACACTATCTTATAAGATCATTTAATACCAGCCCCTAAAAATATCACATTATTTTTTAAACCACACAAAATCAACTTATGGAGTGTTGTAGTGAGGCTTTTGAGAAGATTCTTATTTCTGAAATCAATACCAGTAAATAATACTCAATTTTAGCTGATAAAGCATCTGATTGTGCCAATCTTAAACCGGTGCGTCTTAAAGACGAAATAACCCAAAATAACCCAAAATAACCCAAAATAACGTACAAATTAACTGTAATAAACTTAATCTATTCAAATATTTGGCCGATAAGACAATATGCGATATGATTGTAGAATAATTAACCCATAATAATCTTAGAATAACGCATGAATTAAATGTAATAAACTTAATCTATTCAAATAATTAACCAAATTTTTGTAATTAGTTCCATTAGTGGTTTTGGTTTCCAGTTAACTGCACATTTCAGAAAATGATTGGCTGATTCGGCATTATTGTTTGTCCAATTATCTTGGACTTTTCTGTCCAGACGAGG